ATTCTTTAAGCATTTATAGTTTTGCATGAAGAAAGCGTAGCTTGTTAAGGTTCTCTGAGTTCTATTTGAGCAGTTTCATGAATGGTTGAAATATTAAGTATGAAGTATAAAGCTAAGACCCAGATGGGAAGAATTTGGTCCCAGTTTTAAGTTTCTTTTGATTTTCTTGTACAATAGGAAGAAAGACAGCTCCAGAAAATCGGTTGAAAGAACCTCAAACAGTCTCTATGGTCGCATCCGAATGTTAATAAAAAAATCCAAATGTTTGGGTCATTTTCTTAACACTATAAGTGGAATGTACTTTATCCTATTGCCGAAATTTGGTCTGAAGAGTTTTGGCGCCAAAATGGGTCTTAAATATATTACTTAATTAGATCAGCTGTATGGTGTTACCCATGGTGCATCGCGGCATGGAAGAAGACGACAGCATGGCGGCTGGACATTGGAGAGAAGGAATAACTGCCCGAAAATGTATGGATTGGACTGAAACTTGGTAGGTGGGTAGGTCTTCATGAGACCTAGAAATGGTTAGATTTGGGGCCCTCTGGCGTCTTTCCTAGGTACTGCAGCAGAAACGGTTTTGATATCTCATGATCTGGACATGCTAGGGTCACCAATTTTGGATGGCAGATAGCTCTTGGAGTAGGAAAAAAGTGACATGAGTTTGGGTCCCCTAGCAGCTTGTTCTGGAACTGCAGGAGCATTTGTTGAAAAAATTTTGAAGGATGATAACTCAAGAATCGGTTGTCGGATTGTCATGATCTTTAGTCTGTAGGTAGTTGAAGTGATGCTCGACATAATCAGCTGACAATTATGCAAATCAGGAGCTAATTTGCATAATTAATGAGGAAATCCTATAAATCTGCTTTGTTCGATAATAGAACTATGAAACACATGTGACATCTACTTGAGAACGAGATAAAACATCTGAGGATATAGATGATGTAAATGAGGACCTACTTTGCATAATTAACGGCAAATTTTTTAAATTTCATAGTTGTAAAAGTTGGGAATTTCATACTTGCCACATTTGGAAGTTAAGTGAAGCTGAACATCAATAAACATAATTTATTCAAATCATGACCTCATTTGCATAATTTATGAAGAAGTGCTATAATAGCCTTTTTGTTAAAATAAGGCTGTCATTGGGTGGAGATTGAATATGATCAACTGATGTAATCCATCCAAATGAGGCTCTTATTTACAAAATCGATGATTAAATTGTATAATTCGTCAACCGCAAGGGTTAACATCACTTGGCGAAGATATGAGATCGCGGATCTCTTGTTTATTGTAGATTTTATCTTAAACGTACGCTACACTAATCTATAGTTTACAGTCAAACATATAAGGATATGCCATATATGATTAAATCCATCGTTTACATACTCCTTCCCTCCTCTTTAAGAAGGTGTACACGAACTCACAGAGATTTTGTTATGCAGTATTGTTAGAGGATAGCACTATATAATATACAAATAAATCGTATACTACTAACTGTATTGGAATTCAGGACACCGATAAAAGATATTCAAAATGTTTGTGTATAACGTACACTTTCATACTAAATGAACTTCATTTTCTAAATGGTTGGAGTCACAAAGTGTAAAATGTCTGTTGCTAGGAGTCCAGATTATCTACCTTCTTCAATTTGAAGTGGGTGATCACTATTTCTTAATTTAATAATATAATAGCAGAGCGATGCTTGCAGTTATTTAGATGAAAGTTTAGTCCACAGCAATGATTTTTAAAACCCTACTGAACTCTAGATCCCATCGAACTTTGGATACCCATGACATTGAAGTTTATATGAGCACGATGATGACCTTGACGCCCCACCGCCATGTTTATTTTGCAGGTGTCAGACGGTGACCCTTTGCTTCCCGTCACGCTCTACATCTATGGCAGTGCGAACGTTTTCGGAGCCAACAAGATGTATGACGGGAGTTTTGTGGCACAGAAAGGAGTCATCGTCGTTATCCCCAACTATCGCCTCGGCACTCTAGGTTATTGCTACGATATCTCAACACAACACAACACAACACAACACATAACACCACACAACACATAACACAGCACATAACACAGCACATAACACAGCACATAACACAGCACATAACACAACACAACACAACACAACATATACCATAACATATAACATAACATAAGGCCACACCAATTTAATTTGTTGGTTCTCGGATTCGCCTCTTCGTTTTTTTCTGATTTGCAAAAAAAAAAAAATTTGATTCTGGTCCTGAATCAACTGAAAAATGCTCATGTTTTGTCCCCCAACAGTTGAGGAAAGTCCTTTTCTTCCTAGTTGTTACAGTTTTCCCATCTATCATTGCAGTGGTTTGATTAAAAGTTCAAAATTCAATGTTTAAATTTTAACCCAGCCTTTTGTGTTGACTTCATGGCTCATTTTGTAGCATTTAAGCCTATAATAGGATGCCTAGACCTGTTTTTATTTTTATTTTTTCGCCGTCGCTTCATATTTTTTCTGAAAAAATCCGAGAACCAACAAATCAAATTGGTGTGGCCTTATGTTATCAATTATGTTATATCAATTTTGAGATTAAATTCGATTTATTTTGCATTGATTCTATATCAAATAGGATAATAAAACCAAATACCTATACGCCCATAGACTCTATACATATTCTTCTATTTATTTATTCATTTGGCTTACAAAGAAGCCAGGGTGTCCCAACTAGTCAAAGCTTTGATGTGATCCTATGGGTAGTTACACAGTTGCATTTTGCATAGCTCTCAAAGTAGGCTTAAATTGCTAGGTGCCTGGGAGTTGTAAGTATTCTTTGTTAGAAAGTTTAAATGCCAATGGTTTTTGAAAAGAGTGCTGCTATGATTTTTTATGTAAATTTGTCTTCTCTGAAACAGCGGAAAATCAAGTCCAACTTGCTGAGGACCATATTCAAGACTTGCATTAAAGCCGTTACTCATATTCGACATTCCATATTTCAGTACCAGGCTGCCCCCAGCAGCAGTGTTGAAGAAGAGTCCTTTGGCATGAGGGGTGCCACACCTTGGAGAAGAAGTTACCGACAGCTGTGAGCCAAGCCTTCCTGACAGAGGAGTGATACTGTGCCTTTAATACCTGACTGACTTGGCAGACTAAACACAATGCAGTGTTTATGAAGGCTTTATCCTTGACATATGTTTGGAGCAAGCTGTACCTGTGTGTATGTAGTTGCATGGTTCCAGTATGCAAATTACAAAGCTGGTTGGCCAGCAAAGATGTAAAGGGGTTTTTCTGCAGTTTACAAGGTATCTCAGCACAAAGTGTTTGGTTTACGTAATAGTTTGGTATTTTTGCAGTTGCTGTAAGTTACAAAATTTTAAACTATTGACTGACGTCAGCATCTTGTTACTGTTTCTAAGGGGGTGTTCTGCATTCACACTCATTGTAAGTAGTGCCTGTAGCAAACAAGTACACAACCTTTCACTTAATTTTTTTACTGCCTTTTGTTTTCGCAAAGACACAATTTCCATTAGAACTGAGAGTAAATACCAGTGTCCAGTAGTTGACCATTGTAGTAAAATCTGGCCTCTTTTCAATTAATTGTCATTAACTTTCTGTCATATACATAAAAAAATCAGTTAAGTCCATACCAACTTTATGACACTTTTATTATGAGACTTTAAACTTAAAACAACCAAGAGTTCCGAGATCTCATACCTCCATGAAATATGGGCTTGCATTGTCATAGTTCATTTCAACATGTCCTCATTAATTATGCAAATAACATCAGCATTAACATAATATATGCATAGTGGTGCTAACCTTTAAGTAACTTATACATGTCACGAGGTATAAAATTCTCATCATTCACCAATAAGGAGTCACAAAATGTTCACATTAATTATGCAAATTAGGTCATCATTTGCATAATTGGTATCTGTTGATGTTCAGCCTGCCACAGATTAAATAGATTACATGTATAGCAGTACCATTATATGAAACACTGTAATTATAGAATTTCCTCATTAATTATGCAAATTAAGTCCTCATTTGCATAATTTGCTATTTTAATCATGTACAACTGTCTCTCAGGTACCTACACAACCAAAAATGATAGAAAATACTATTGTTCCAATCTGGACTTATTGGTCTTTGAAAGTTTTTTACCAGAAACTAACCTGTAGTTCCAGAAGAAGCTGCTAGGGGGACCAAACTTACGCCACTTATTCCTGACAGGATAAGCTATCTGTCACCAAAAAGTCAAGACCATAGCTTGTTCAGGACAAAAGATACAAAAACCGGAAGTTTTGCTGCAGTACCAAGGTCATCCACCAGGAGGCCCATATTTGACCTTGACCTTTTGCTTCCTAAGACATACCAGCATACCAAATATCATCACAATCCATGAAGGCGTTCTGAAGTTATGCTGACTACAATGTGCGGAAACACACACAGACACACACACACAGACAGACCCGCCAAAAACAATACCTCCATTTTTCATGGAGGTAACTAGATTACGCTAATTATGACCTTATTTCCATTGTCAATGAGACAAATAAAAAACATTTACAAAGACTCATATATTTCATGGAGGTATGAAATCTCAGAATTCTTGTTTTTGGCATGTTTTTAGGCTTTTTATTGGGGTTTCTCTTTTGCAAACCTATGCAGGAAACGTGACATCGACAGTGCTCCTCCCCGGGAACCATCAAGTTATCATTAGGGATATCCATTTTAAGTTCCATTGCAGTGACGTACGGACCCCCTATGAAGCCCAAACTTGCAGTTGACATTGGCCTCAATAACGGTAATCTGCTTGGCAAAAATCAAGGACATCGAATTATGCCTTCAAGAGTTATTCCGCTAAACCTGCAGTCACCCACAACACGATGAGACAACTCCATTATAGTCTTTCTGACGAAGACAATAATCATAGCACAAAAGACAGAAATATTACAGTGTTATACATATCTAACACTACACAAATATCTAGATGCAAGAATACTAGAGAACACTGTGTGATTGAACTTTATTACTTTTAAAATAACTTTTTTAAAATAAATTTCAGATACATACTTAGATAGATGCATACATACAGATTTACTTATTATGTTACCTACTTTGTTCTATGTTGGGCTTTCAGGTTAGGTACAAATATCTAGATGCAAGAATACTAGAGAACATGTGATTAAACTTTATTACTTTTAAAATAATTTTTTTTAAATTTCACATACATACTCAGATACATACTCAGGAGTTACCTACTTTGTTCTATGTTGGGCTTTCAGGTTAGGTACACCAGTGTACCCAAAATGAATTTCAAGCCATGCCCAGTCATTTGAGCATATAAATATTATATATAATATGCACAGAGGATTGCATTAACGAGTCAGTATTTCAGAGTCAGTACTCGCTATTTCTCTTTAAAAAGTCAATTCCATTGTCTTTCTGACTAAGACAATATTCATAGCACAAAAGACAAAAATATTACAGTGTTATACATATCTAACACTACACAAATATCTAGATGCAAGAATACTAGAGAACACTGATGTGATTGAACTTTAATACTTTTAAAATAACTTTTTTTAAATTTCAGATACATACATAGATAGATACATTTTCAGATAGAAAAGCAGATTTCTGAGTACCCCCAATTTACTCTTTAAAAAGCTGGCAGTCTTCCAACACCTGTGCTACTGTCCTACATGCTAAGACTTCTCTTTAAAAAGCTGGCAGTCTTGCAACACCTGTGCTACTGTCCTACATGTACATGCTAAGACTTCTCTTTAAAAAGCTGGCAGTCTTCCAACACCTGTGCTACTGTCCTACATGTATGATGCTAAGACTTCTCTTTAAAAAGCTGGCAGTCTTCCAACACCTGTGCTACTGTCCTACATGCTAAGACTTGTTTCAGAAAGGTTCTGAACTTCTGCTGCCACTGCCTGTGGATCTTCGTGGCTCTGTACTTCTTGTGCAGAAGTTTGTCTGCAAGATAGTGCAGCCACAACACATTTGTGTACGGGTGGTGTTGCTTCCAGTTATCTCTGTTTCAAAGGGAATGGAGAAAGAAAGGTGTAAGAGATGCACGATATAACTAAGTCTTGATCTGTGGTACTGCAATATGTCAACACAGGCCACACCAATTTAATTTTTTGGTTCTTGGATTTTTTTCAGAAACATTATATTAAGCGACAGGGCGAAAAAATAAAAACAGGTCTAGGCATCCTATTATAGCCCCAAATACATTGTACTACAATTCGAGCCATGAAGTCAACACAAAAGGCTGGGTTGATATTTAAACAACGAATTTTGAACTTTTAATCAAACTACTGCTTAGATTCAAAAACTGCAATGACTTTCCTCAACTGTTGGGAGCAAAATATGATCATTTTTGAGTTGATTAAGAACCAGAACATTTTTTTTGGCAAATCAGAAAAAATGAAGAGGTGAATCCAAGAGTCAACAAATTAAATTGGTGTGGCCTCATCAAACAAAAAAGAGGATGACCTGCGAAGTGATGCTTATAATGATTAAGTGTTGCTGAATATCCATAAAAGAATTAGAAGACTACACTTTATAATATGTCACAAATTTGAGTCCTGTCACAATTTTTGGAACAAAGCTTTATTCTGACCCAACATAATAACCTGTGATCCAGTCCCTGTGATTCAGCCATACCAATTTCAAGCTCCTCGCCATTCAGCCCCTGGCTGCACATAGAGACTAGGCTGCCCACTCAATAATAATGTAACAATAATAACAACATACCGATTTTCCTTCTTCATCTCTCTATAGATGTCGAACTGATAGTCCTCCCTTTCCCCTCAAACAGGGTAGGGTTAGCTGACAGGTCACAGTATAATGGCTCGCCATCTACAGGGGGAGAGAAGCAATTATTCATCATTTTCTTGTTTGCACAGTCATCTTAATTCAGTAGATACGGAGACGTAATTTACTGCCTAATTAAAAATCAGTAATTTGGGCATATCTACAGATTATTAGTATATTTTCGTTGGCGCAAACGTACGTTTGTAGCTTTCATCACTATGAAATCAAAAACAAAGTTTTATGTTGTTAGGAATTGCCAATTAAAGTTCTGTATTTTTTCTTTGAAAAACTGTATTTTTTATTTGAAAAAAATAATAAAAAGGGCAATAAAACTTGACGTTATGCATGTGGTACCAAAAATTATTTTAGGGAACCTCATGTTGATAGATACCAATATTCAGTACAATCCCAGTTCTCTCTCATTCCTTTACTAGTAAAACAGTACAAACTCAAATCACCAAATTAGCCACCCCGGAGACCTTAAAGTAACCTTATTTTAAATGATGAATACATTTTAAAGGACAAGAGCCAGAAGTTTGACAGGAAAGTCAGGACGCAGACCTTTCAAAAGTGTTGTGCAAGTTGTGCAAAACAAAATGTGTTTTCTGACTTTTCTGACTTTCCTGTAGCCTCCTTAGCCACAAAAAGCACAGACTACATGAACTATGTATGGGGCTTTTTTATGGCTTCTACATGTATGATGCATTTTTTTTTTCTTACGGCATGTCACTTCTGTACAGAATAGAAGTTGTACACCATAAGAAAAGTGCATGTACAAGCCCCCTAAAGAGCATCATTTGTAGAGCCTGCCAAGGAAGCTAACTCTTCAGCATCCCAACTGGTTACAGTCCTGAGTTGTAGTGAGATTTTAGGATTACACTCGGAGTCCAAGCAGAGGTTTGGGTTATTTTGGGCGTGTTTTTAGGCTTTTTTATTGGGGTTTCTCTTTTGCACTGGAATTTTTTTTTCACTCACCCCGGGGCGGGGCAAACCTATGCAGGAAAGGTGACAGTGCTCCTCCCCGGGAACCATCAAGTTATCATTAGGGATATCCATTTTACTGTGGTGGATTATCACACATCTAGCCAGTCAGAAAGGCATTCATTCGGCCACATGCCTGCTGCTGACTGTGCCTATTCATACGTCTGGTTCACACCTTGCAGAACGACTGTAATGTGTTGAAGTGATTAGGTTTATAGCATATTGAAGCTTTCGACTGCCGGCAGAGGTTGGGTTGGGTGAAAAAAAAATTCCAGTGCAAAAGAGAAACCCCAATAAAAAAGCCTAAAAACATGCCAAAAATAACCCCAAACCTGCTTGGAGATTAGAGAAGGATCTCTTCACACCAACTCACCCTTGTGTATCCTGGACACTGTGAAGTCAATAATGTTCACATCCAGTCCTCTGGTGGCCACACACACAGGGGAGGAATCCCCTGCCAGGTGATGGGTGGAGCTTTGTTCCCCTCCTTTCCTCACTAGCACGTTTCCCCAGTGGAGGTCCCGGTGTTCAAACTGGAGAGCAGCCTCCGCAACAGCCAGGGCGATGGTGATCTGGTGCAGAACAGCCTTGGCTTGCCTCAGACTGTAGAACTACAGGAGAGAAACAGCTTGTTTTCTAAGGAAACTGAAGCAAGATGCGACATTTTTTGTATTTAACGTTATTTTATTTTATTGAAATCACAAAAATGCAATATAATGGGCTACTAGGCAGCTTGGTGATATTGGTTGCCATCAGTTGAACAAATACATCTATCAAACAGACATATGATTTGTCTTCTCCGTAGTAAGATTGTATCTAATACACTAGAGACTTGTAATATAAACAACACAGTAATACATCAGCTTACAGAACATTAAATAAGACAACTTTTTGCTGTCCATTATGTCACCTCTACATCCTTCTGGGCATGCTGAAACATCAAAGAAAGTAATTTGTAAACATAAAGTCACACCGGCTTAATTTTACGGATGACATCCTCTGAAGACACACAAACCAGTGAGCGCGGGCGAATGAAAAAAAATCTGACCAAAAATAAAAATGCTAATAAACCACAGGAATACAAGGCTGGTATTGTGAATTTGAGGCAGTACATAGCAACGTATACGACAAGCCGACAAATGCTGGCTTTTTGCGGAATTTACGAGTCGGCACTGTACGCATGTACTGAGTTCTTGAGTCGTGGAGCTTCGGCATCCTGGGTGCCATCCTCCAGAGTTACCACCGGCTCCCTATTGCCACTAACTAGAGCCAGGCCAGAGTCTTGGAGGACGTGATCTTTTTTTGAGAACAGACGAAAATAAATGCGCGTGCGGATGTCATCCGTAAAATTAAGACGGTGTGGCCTAATATACATAAGAATAATACCTGGAAGTGTTCCAGATCACAGCCCCCATCCTCGGACTCCAGCACAACGAACAGCTGGGAGTCTCGAAACATGTCTGGCTTGTCGTTCTCTGACCCTCCTGCCTTCTGCTGGTGCCACCGGTCCCACATGGCCAGAAGGTGGTCCGGCCAGGCACCCTGAACCAGACACACACGGTGCAGGTGGATGAAACCACCTGTCTGGTTACCTGCGCCGTCCTTTAGTTCACTCAACTCCCTGCAAAATGTTCACAACAACATCAGTACAATTAATTATAGTAGCTTCAAATAGGTTACTGAACCCTTCACAAATATATGCACCCACAGTAAAAAATTAGGAGCGCAGCTCCAGTTTTGGGTGCACAAAAGTGTGTGTGCCGCCAGTACGGGTATTTACTAGAAACTCTTACATCCATCAAGTCAATGTCTTATATCAACATCAAAGCGTTTTAACTGAACTTGTAATGATCAATGAAACAAGTACAACTGCCTATTCTCTAATTCATGGAAATGAATTATAAAATCAACTCAGACAAGTCATCAAAGTCTCATGACATTCTGGCATGTTCCAACACATTCTCTGATGGGTTGTAGCCTGGTTACCAAACCTATTATAGGCTATTATAAGCTATTTGCGGAGAGACTGTAGGACTCTGGAGCTATAATAGGTTTGGTAACCAGGCTAGATGGGTTGTACACTACCAAAACTATTCTCCACTTGGTCCCTCTGGGTTTGCTGCATCCTGTGTGTCTGCATGGCTGGTGTTCAGATATGGTAGGTACATACGAGCCACGACGTCTGTACACTTGTACACACACTGCCGCCCAAAAGGCAGTTCAGATGACTCTCTCCAAACACCTTCAGGCCTGTCATACACGAAAACCTCTTGAAGTAGCTCTAGCTTGTTGGCCCATTTTGGGCAATCATAATCCACTATTGCATGCAGCTTCCTGTTTTGGAGTACAAAGAAAGCTCCATCTTCAACGTATATGTCTGGATTATTCTCAGTCTCCTGAAAGCTTGGGACTGGATGTTCAGACCAGCTGTCTGCTTCTGTATCATACACCAACATGTTGGAGTGGTCAGGATCCATCCAAAAGATCTCTGTTCCCATGGCAACTGCCATACCTCATTAAGGCCGTAGACTGACAGGGCTTTCTTGGACCACTGGTCTTCCCTTGGGTCGTACCAATGCATTTCTGCTACTGTGAAGAGGTAGATGTGCTGATTGCAGGACACTGCAAAGAAGGAGTCAAACTCACCATAATCAGGTGTTGAACAGTTTTGCCACTCATTCTTATGCTGGTTGTATTTCTTCAATACCACCTCTGGAGCTTCATCAAGGTAAAAAAGATGTCCATCGACTTCCATCAGGTGGTTATATATATCCCGGTATGGAAGTCCCGGTTTTTCACATCCTTTGCACACGGTAGACTTTTGTTCCCACTTGTTCTCAACATGGTTGTATTTACACATATAGATGCTGTCTGGATCTGTAGCCAAGCCATAGATCTCATTATCACAAGTAACCACACCCCTGTATGGACATACTGGTTGGCCATAGTCACACCAGATGTACTTCCCTTCTCCTGGGTTCATCCACAGCATCTTTTTATCGCTGTAAATAAAAGGTAAGATACATTCAATGATCAGGACATACAATGTTGGTTCTAGGATTTAGGAAGATAATGCTGAAGAGAAATTCAAACTTGAAAACAGAGTCAAAGAAGAAGAACAAGTATAATATTATACATACTTCACTTCATGACGCAACAGAACCATTTCTGTGGTCATTGCAAGCCTTGGCTTCTGGTTGGAGCGTACCACATTCCTGATGACCTCAGAACTCCCAGGATCCTCCCTGACCAGGGGATGTTCCAAGATGGCTGCCGTGTCGCCTGAGGTCAGCAGGTTGAAGCGGATGTGAGGGAGGATGCTGGGTAGATGCTGCAGTCTGCAGGGAACAAGGTGAAGCCAGAGTTTTTGGGTCATATTTTTACATCACTGCAAATAATACTGGGATGTCAAATCATTTGACTAGTAAACAACTTCCAAAATCAACATGTGCATGTCATCAGTAGTATGAGGTTTCTTCAGTAATATTATGTAATTATCAACTAACTTCATCACTAAAAGATACCTGTATAGCTAGAAAAGTAACATTTGCAAAACAAATGCATAATGTTCACCTTCGCATATGGTCTGCTCTGTCGATTCTTGTTCAAACACATCAACATATATGGTGTATGTCAACTATGTATCTCTTTTTAATGTAACATTGTGAATATTAATAAAGTTTGAAAAAAAATATGGTGACAGGAGTCTAAATCCAACACCAGTTACCATGGTGAGGGACCGCCTGGTTCAGGTCATTGACAAGGTCAGAGGTCACTGGAGAAGAAGAAGAAACTGAGCAAAAACAATATGTTTTCCTTTGGTGCTGCCCACCTGTCCTCCCTGCTGTGCTGCACCCATCTCACCACAGCCTCCCACACTCTTGTCTCCTCTTTAACCTCCAGCTTATCCTGGCTGATGATCTCAGTCAGCTGATCCACACTCAGGCTACAGAACTGACCTCACTGGAGGAAACCTGTGGAGGTGTGACATGCTTTAAAATAATTGGCAATTCAAATATATATGTGTCTTCATTAAGTTTTACCAGTAGCTTAGGAGCAGGTATTTCTCTGCCTCCTGACACAGTCCCACAAGCCTGTCCCTCTTCTCAGGCATTTTCTGCCACCTGTTAGAAGTGCAATAAGTGGTCGTCAAACCAGATCAGCTTATAAACTGAACACTCCTCGCAGCAGAACTGATCGTTATCAGAATAGTGCCCTTCCTTTCATGATCCGCCTGATTAATATGTATATGTAACACTGTCACTTTTTTTAACCTAAGACTTATTTTAGTGTTCGTCTGTTTTGTTATCTGCTACGATATTTATTTGCACTTGAAACGTTGTTGACAATATTTTATATACATTTTATGTAATGGTTTATTTCTATTTTAATCGCTTAATATGACGTTTTATACTAATAATGTGATGCCCCAATGTCAATTCAGCCTCTGGCTGCCATTTTTGGGACAGTGTTGTTGTGTTTTAATGCAAATAAACCATTGATTGATTTAATTCTCCTGTAAACGATGAACATAGGCGGCCGGGGTGCAGGCCTCTCCCATTAAAAACGTCCGCCGACGTCCCGCCATTGGTGGGTCCTCCTCCTGACCTCCTCCTAATAGTTGTACACATATCATCGATGACATGAAAGTTCATCTGTGTTGATATATTTCATTATGACGAGTGGATGAATTTTATCTTCCAACACATAATAAAATTGTGTTTTAGTTATTCTGATCTGCACCATAATTTGATTTATTGTTAATGTGCTATTATAGCCTAGTATAGTACCCTTGTATGTTCCTTATGTACATTGTATGTATGTCCCCGTGATACTGTGAGTGGGAGGCGTACTCCTCGAACTCCGTGGCCTGTTTGGGGCAGTCGTCTGTGTCGTGTTCGTCAAATACATCACAAATGTCGCAGTAGAGTCGGGGAGGGGGGAGTTGTCTTAGTCTCTCTTCCCTGGTGGGGGAAAGAAATTAAGAGAAAAAAATTGTTAGAATGTCCCACTCATGAAGTTTTCACTGTTTTGTATCAAGCATGTAGTACCAGGAAAAAAGATGTACAAATGTCAAGATGTTAAAAAAAACTTGTTGCAGTATGTCAAAATGTGGTCATGAGAACAATGAAGATTTCTATACTGTACTTCGAATGTTTCGGAACAACAGAGTACGGGTTCAAATGTAGCAAACAAGGTGATTTTATAATCATGGATTCATGGATCAAACAACTGAAAAATCAACACGGATAAATCCTGTACACAACTCTATTTCATCTTTTAAGTCCTACACAGAAATAAATTTCAACTTGCTGCTACAAATGGTTCAACAACGATTTGAGAAAGATACTAGAGCAAGAACCCAACATTAGTAAGTAATACAGAACAATGACTAGAGATATTAACATTTCCTATTAATGAAAAAACAGCCAACTTCCAGTCTCAACAATATAACAATGCTTAATGAAATCCATCAACTCTCCTAACATGGGGGAGACCAAATGGCCCAGAAACAGAACATCAGATGAATGGGAGTTTAGAGTGAAAAAAAAGTCAAGATAAAAACATCTCCCTAAAGTCTAAGTGGGGAGGAGGTACTGTTACGTTGTATACCTCCCACCATTGTACTCCTGTAATTGCATATTTAGCAACTAGGGGGCACCTGTTCAACCGTTTAGTTCCACTCTCTTGTAAGGGGGATTAGAGCCCCAAACAGATACGCACTCTTCATCGAACAGGTCCTCCCCATTCACACCACTCTCCAACTGGTCAATACGGCGGATCAGCTCATCGTTCTTCCTCTGTAGATCCACAATCACAGAGTTCAGGAAGTCAATCTGAGAAAAAGGGAGAGAAATACGTCACATTGGATATGCAGGTGGTCCTTGTGTAGAGGTGGTCACTTGTACAGGTTGATTGTATACCTACAAAGTTTAGTCAAGACTTGAGTGCATAGTGCTTAACAGACAAGGGTGACTTAAACAAGGATGATTCTACAAAAACATTCTTAGATCTGTTCAATACAAACTTGAGTCCTGCAATCATGCTCTGAACTTCTGAAGGTCTTAAAAAAGGAACAAACTGAAGTGATGTTAGTTCAACATGAAATGGTTTAGATGTCGTGTCATGGGTGAAGATGGTCGTCTGTAGTTACCTTCAACCGAATTTCTTTGGTCTGGAGTCACCGGCCATACAGAAGAAATCCCAAAAGCCGTACAAAGAGTAGGAGTTAAAGACACAGGGAAGAACAAAAGGGAGACACACACATTGAGATGGAGTGAAGAGAGACTTCTAAGGAAGGTACCAGTCACATTTGATGCACAGTTGTCCAACTGAGAATATTCTTGGGATAGTCGTACATGTATCATACAGAATTCAACTGTTTTGTTACAGAGAAGGCTGCCTTAGATCCTTGCAGGTAGTTGGTTCTGTTACAGTCTGCCTGAAAATTCTACAACACAAATTTTGTTCTGTAACAAATGTGACTGAACCTAGTAGACATATAGCACTGTAGCATTTACAAGGAGAATTAGTGCAAGAGTGCAAGACTGACAAGACAATTTGGGAAAGACTTGGGAGACAGAAGGAAACTGCTTGACAAGTTCACGACATCAAATCCATATTTTGTGCAGAAGATCTATGGACACAGCATGCATCGTCCGGACTCCAGGTTAAATGATGGACCTGAAGGAACCCCTCCTCAACACTTACCTGGCCTTCTGCTTCTTCCTTCTCTTTTCTCAGCTTGGCCGTTATGGGATCGCCTGGAGGGAAACAAATTAAAATTAGGCTTTTAGTTTGGACAGGTGGATCCAAGTAATACTGAACAAGTCTGGATCTCCTGGTAAAAATTTTTCAGGACAGCCATTCCATTTCTGATGTGTTATGTCTAAAGATGGCTTGCCACTCATGAGAAACAAACATCCATATAAAACTTCTGATCTTTTTGAAAGGGAATTTAGGATAGCAAATCATGTTTCTCAGTACTGTATTAAGCTATTTCATGTCCTGTAAGACAATAATACAATAATTGTACTTAGGCCTAGAAAAAATTATATATTCTAAGTCATTATGACATGTATCAATGTCACAAAATAACAACCAGTCTTTCTTCTGATCAAATAACGTTTACTTACCAATGAAGTTAAGTGATAGCTTCAGGGAAAAAGTATGGTAATAATAATCAACTTGGCATTATACAGGAACCTGTTACAGAAAGCAGAGAAAATGTTGCTTAATTATCATCAACAATTAAAGCACTAGCAGAAGTTGAAGTAGTCTTGAACAGGATAGTCTAGAATCTGTTTGAGAAAATATCTTGTTATTTGATCCTGAAAAGATAATGATGGTTAAGATAAGCACCTTCTAAACACCTTAACCCAAATGTGATACAGTTCAAGTTTGAGAAAGAAGAAAGATAATCTAACACTACATGTACCTTGGCTCCCAGCAAGAAAGTTGTACATTCGCCAAACATACATGTAATTTACTGGTCACTTAAAATTCAGAAAGAAAATTCAATATTCAAAGTTTCGTCAATACTATACACATGTAACATTGCGTCAGAAGTCAATTTTTTTAACCTTCCCTGCTGACTAAGTCTCAAAACTGATACAAATTTGGAGCCAAATGAGAACCTTGGCATCCTGCAGGTTAATGACAACATAAAGAGGGTTTTGAAATGAGAGGATTCCAAAAAGCATGTTGTGGTGCTGAGACTTTTAATTTTGAAAAAAAAAGGGACTTTCCGAATGTAAAGTGACCGTTGTTTTGTCCTGTTTGCTCACAAACCTGTGGGGACCTTCTCCATGTCCTCATGCAGGTGTTCCGCATCTGTATTCAAAACAAACCCAAGCCAAGACCCCATAGGTGCTTTGCACAGAACTGACTGTTGCAGTTAGCAGGGACATACCTGTCAAGCTGTCAAGATGACTAAATGCAACTCTTTGGGTAAATCCGAAGTCATACTTCTTTTACATGCCTAAAGAATGTGCATTTTGTTTTTCTCCCCAACAAGCATGTGGTTTTCACAAGATTTTGCAGAAATTATGAGACAGAAATGTCTGACAGTGTAAAGTTACTTTCCCAATCAGCATATTCTGCAAAAATCAGGCAACTTGACAGAAATGCACATTGCTAAATTTTTGATAACACAGAAGTTCTACAGCCAGTTACATACCATTTAAATTATCATTTTGTGACAAAAAGTCAGCAAATCTACTATGTTTTAACAACAACTCAATTAGTAGCACCAAGGACAACACCACTTTCCCTTCACCTTAAAAACCACTTCAAAACACACCAAAGTTAGTTGTTCATTGGGATTGACACTGATGTTTAGAACTGAAAACACTGTGCACTGTGTAAGATCTCCACTATCAGTGGTCAAGTTTCAAACACTTCCTTTGTTTTCATGCAAGTGTCAGTATGCTGTCTTTGTCTGGTGTTGTCTGGTGGTGTTGTGAGGACCACCTACCACACTTGACTTCATCTAGCCTGGCCTGCATGAGCTCAAAAGAGGAGTTCAAAATGGACAGCTCATCCCCATCCTCCAGTATATCTGGAACTGGGGTACTGACTTTGGGGCTATGCCTCGGAACCTTGTCTTCAAGTTCAAGCTCATGATCAGGGTCTTAATCTAAGACATCACCATAAACGTGGTAAATTTCATTTGCCACGTACGAAATGTGCTCTACAAAAGGGAAGAAACAAAACAGATCAGCTGGGACAGAAGTGCCAAGACATCAATAAAATCAAATTAGTTTAATTATGAAATATTCAATCTATTGATTCTGCTTGAAGACTGCTTCAGAGAGCCTGTGTTTAAACTACATGTAGCATTAATCAATAGTAGGAATCATTCAAACAATAAACATCATAATAAGTAGATTCAAAACAAAATTCAAAACTATAGACTGCAATCCCGTACAGGATACACACAAATACATGTTAGCATAATAATTATGATTACACGTTTAGTACTTTTTGAAAATTGCTCAGAGTCTTAAGAAAACTCACCAGCTGTCATGGCGTCCATGTCTTTTTGCATCTGCTCCAGTGCTGTGTTTAAGATGTTCACCTTGTCTTCAAGTTCTTCATTGACTTCTTCTAAGGCAGAGATCTTAAGCTTCAAGCTCTCTGCAAGGTGGCTTTCACCCTTCAAATCTGTGATCTGTGAAAAGTTGAAAAAGAAGTGTTTTTCTCAGATATCTTTCTCTTGTCATACAATGAGGATGATTATGAGGACAACATAGACAATTGAGCTTGTCATTGCTATAATCAGTTATGCATCCCTACAAAGAAATCTTTACTGCTATGCACAATGATATCACTTTGGTTACCTGTGATTGGTACTTGGAAAGCTCCTCATCCTTTTGTTTGTACCAGTTTCTCAGTGATGTCCACTGCTTTCTGCAGCGACTCACATTCACCTTCAAACTCTCGCTGTAGGGTGTTCTCCCTAAAACCAACACAATGTGTTAGAAAAAAAATGCACATTACAATGTCCTGGCAGCTTTAAAAGACTGCAGTTCATATGTGATACCAATAGCTCCTACTGAGGAGGATCAATCCCAAACTAACTAGGCAATGGAAATTAAGTTTTGCACCTTTTTAAAAATCGACAATAAAGTCACAGTAAGTTCATGGGAGACACTTGTGAGAAGAAGCTTAGGAGTCTATATTTTTTTGGAGGTCCTTACCTTTTTGTACTGGAGGAAGGAAGGCAAGAAAATAGGGAGCAGGCAGCTGTCAGTTACATGCTAGCTTTTGACCCATATAAAGTCTGTTATGGGTGATTTAACACCCTTTAGACTAATTACTATCTGGTGATAGATAGCAGCATGTCATTCAGAGGCAAAGCCAAGAGCAAGTGCTTAAAAAGACTAAAGCTTGTGGCACATGCTTATAAAATCATCTACATTTGGTCTAGTAGTGAGACCATGGACTGTAAAACAAGAACATATCAAAAGTTGCTTAAGAATGGTACTGGATACACTGCAGCAAATTAACGATCACATTAGATATATATTAAAAACGATTGTATAAGTTGATACCTGTCTCATACTAGCCACCCACTTTTGTATTAGATTAGCCTTATGAAAATGTAGTTGACATGTACTTACTTAAGTTAGTAGATGCCATACTTTGTACACTGTACAATTGTTGCGCAATAAAGTTATGATAATACTGAAACTCCACTTACCGTGATTTGTAGTCGTCTATTTGTTGCTTCAATGAGTTTTGAACTTCAGATAACTGTTCATGAACAAAAGGATACAATTAGAATGTAATTCTGTGAAATGTTACTTTCAAAAGTAGCTAAAAAAAAGGTCAAGAGACAGTCTTTCAAAAAAAAGATAGAAACAAGTCAAGTTGTGAAGAATCATAAAACAAAGACAATCACAAGAAGGCAACTAAAACAGACCAAGTGTTTGGGAAACATTTTTAGAACTCAGGAATCATACAAGATAGAGGGATCTCAGATACAAAAGGCATACTTTTGGTGGCAACAATAACCACCACTCAGGAAACACAAGAAACAACTTCAGCATGACAGAGAGAATTCAAAAGAAAGTTCAAGGTCACCAACAAGGTCAAACAGGTCAAAATATGAAAGATCAGTAAAACACAACACCGAGGCATGTCAATCATGGTACAAAACCTTTCAACCAACCAGTTAGCAACTTCAAACCACCAGATATCCAGCAGTAAATACCACTCTCATTCAAACACTTGCTTGTTTGTTTGTTTGTGTTTTTGTTGGCATAATTACCTCCAGCTCGACAATCTCCCTGTACGCATCCAGGTCGTTCATGTTGGCTTTGTACGGGTTGTCGCTCCCTAGCGTCTGTTGGAGGAAAAACAGCGTAATTGATTTGATTTGATTTGATTTATTGGAATGGGCCCAGGTAGCTGTTGCTGGTGTTGTATCTCACACAAAGAATATTACGAACACGTACAAATATCATCATAATCAGAGAGCATTTCTTGGCAAACAACTTGACTTTTGGAAACATAATCGAAACATAACATGGGATGGCTGCAAACATACACAGTCAAATGATTTGCATTGAGTTGAGTATCAACGTATCATGGGAAAATCATATGTTCAACATAAAACAAAGCCCTCTAAATACCCACCATGGCTTCGTGGCACAACTCTTCAAACCTGGCCAGCGGGGATGTCGAGTTACTTGTGATCAGCCTTGACCTGCCAACGGCTATGCGGACTTGTTCAAGAGCTGAAACAACATAATGTAGCAAAGACTTCATCAGAATGCCACACAAGAGCTTCAAAATGAGATTCAATTCAATGTGAATTTCTTAAGTGAATACTTTTGGTATGTACTTGTCGTCCACTAATACGTTTGGGCACTGAAAGTCAACAAATTACGTCTATGTCCAAGGTTGCACTTGAACAAGAGCAACACATGGCAGATTTAGTGAGAAGTGCAGGCTAGGTGGCAAGGTGGTTTGGGTTGTTGACTCAGAATCCGAAGAAGACAGATGCTATGTACAGTATTTACAGGTTCACTGTACCGGGGAAATTCCCCTTTTTTCCACCAACACAAATCAATGAACAATGGACCACAGCCTAACGTCCCGTCCTGCGACCCTTTCCAGTAGCAGCGCGCATGTCCGGTACCGGTGAGCGACAACAGCCGGGATTCGAGATCCCAACCTCTTGGTCCAGAGGCAGGGTTGCCAACCGATAGAACCTGCGTCGCTATACGTGAAACAGACTTCACTGTAAAGAGACTCTTTTTACACTACCAAGTCCTTTATTCAGCCGACGTTTCGGTGACCGTCTGTCACCTTCCTCAGGGCAATTCTGACTGGTTCTTGCATTGCAGCACAGGTGTCGCTGCTACTGATGCATTCCCAAATGTACAATATTTCCATATCTACACATATGCGTGATTGGATTACAGGGAAATGTATCTACAATGCGTTCCCAAAACGTGCATCTGTAGCAGAGACGCCTGCGCTGCAGTGCAATGTGAACCAGTCAGAATTACCCTGAGAGAGGTGACAGACGATCACCGAAACGTCGGCTGAATATAAAAGACTTGGTTGTGTAAAAAGAGTCTCTTTACTCAGTGTCTTTACAACCTGACAAAACTATTCACGGATGGGGGACTATACACTGCACATACCATGTGCAGGGAGGTTCCGGTAGTTCAGGTATTTCTCTGCCTCCTGACACTGTGAAACAAGCCTGTCCCTCTTTTCCTGCACCCGCTGTACATAGGCGGCCGGGGTGCAAGGCTCTTCTAGGTCAAACGTCAGATTTCCCGCCGCCACTGGTGGGTCCTCCTCCTAATCTTTGTACACATATCATCGATGACATGAAAGTTCATCTGTGTTGATATATTTCATTATGACGAGTGGATAAACTTTATCTTCCAACACATAATAAAATTGTGTTTTAGTTATTCTGATCTGCACCATAATTTGATTTAATTTATTGTTAATGTAAGTGCTATTATAGCCTAGTATAGTACCCTTGTATTTTCCTTATGTATGTAAGTCAAGTAGTGCATCTTTTGTCTCCAATTTGCTATATACATTTGTTACGTGTGTTATATCTTGACCTGTACCTAGCCCGTCGTGGCATGAATGTACAATAAAGGTATTTCATTATTTACTTTTTCGTTTGGGGGAGGCCCACACGCATATTTGTCAATTTATGTATTTCGTTGTATATGAGCAAATAAGCAAATCACAGTCACAGAGTCACTTGCGGCTGTGTTGTGTTCACCTCTGTCTCCGGTATAGCGGGCAACTTTCCCGCAGACGTTCCGAGCAGAAATCGTCCGACCAGGCCACGGCCGACTTTCGAGCCAGGCGGTCGGCGAAGCCGTCCACTGTCTAGCCCTTCCAGCAACACGGCCCTCAGTAGTGCCTTGCACTGCTCTGCCTTCATGTCTGGGTGTTCAGACTGGATACTTCTCTGGATAGCGATGGCAGATGCACCTTTTGGGTCGTTGAGACTCTTGATAACATCCTCGACCCTGTTAGTGTTATGGGGCGCTGTAAACTTTCAGTCTCTTTTACTTTTAGCTAGTTTACTGGAGAAGTCCTCCTTAGCCAGCTCCAGGTCCTGGTAAGCCTGGGCCTTCTGGGACTCCATGTCTGCGATCTTCCTCTGGAGCTTCCCAGACTCCATCTGGTATTGCTGCACAGGAAGTCAGAACATTAGTGTGAGATCTATGGCAACAAGCTATGATGATGATGATGTGAGACCACATTATTCCACTTGACATGGTTATGCCTTACTCTAGTTGTAACAATCTGGTAGTTTTCTCACATTTTTTCCAAAATATAGTCATTCACTTATGTTGCTAGTGTTTGAACATTTAGTTTTACTGGAACATGATTACTTGAGTAGCAAAACTCATAGCAGAAGCCTTCACCATTTTACAACTGTCTTTGCACTTTCATACGCTATAAGATTGGATGATAGATATTAATCTGACTATATCAGTAGACATGTTGATGCGAGTTGAACATACTTGTTCCTTGTCTTCAGATTCCCTCTTGAGCTTCTTGAGTTCTTTTTGCATCTCCTTTTTCTGGGTCTCAGACTCGTTCAGTCTGGTCTGGAGGTCACCTGACTCCTTCTGCCCTGTCTGGGGCATCATGGGAACAAATCATGAACATGACCACCCCATACATGTACATCAATTCCATGCATCTAACAAATGCAAATGGCATAGAAAAGGCGTAGAAACTTCACCTTGAGTTTCGTGTCCAGGTCACTTCTGGCTTGCTCTAAATCTGACTCCAGATCAGATTTTTCAGCCTCAAGCTCTGAGATCTGTCTGCTCAGGGCCTCCTGTTGGTCTTGAGCTTTCTAAAAGGGAAGCATAAGAACGGGAAAATTACTAAAAACTGTTACATTTGTCATACAATTGTAAACTAAGGGCATTCTTGGTATAATTGTGCGAATGTTGTACAAAATCTAACTGCCTTGTTACAGAAAGGCTGTCTCAGATCGTTGTGTGTGGTTGGCTCTGTCACAACCTGCTTGAAAATCGTATGACATCAAAGTTGCACGACAGCCTACAACAAATGTGACCCTAAAATTACAAATACAAGGTATGAAAAACATAAAATAACAATCCTGCTTACTTCTGCTTTTTCTTCAGAGTCTATCTTGAGTGCCTTGAACTCCTTGTGTATCTTGTCCTTGTCCTCCTCCTCCACTTTGGTAAGCTTCTTCTGCAGTTCTGTCACCTCTCGTTCGCCTTGCTGTAAACATCATAGAAGAACTTTATTGCACGACAATTGTACAGGGTACATTGTATCATAAACAACATACGTTCCAAATTTCACGTCACTTATTTATGAGATTTCAATGAAAATTCTTATGATCTCATGCAGTATGCATATGGTATGTGCATAATGTATATTGTATTAGTGTATTACCACCGTGGGCAGGGTTGGACAAGTCCCATTGCCCACTTGCCCAGGGCAAGTAAAAGTACTGTTCGGGCAAGTAAATATCCCCCTGGACTTGCCCGATGGGGCAAGTATATTTTTTGGATGCAAGGTATAGCCCCTGCAGTATTTCGACCAAGTTTCAAACAATTTTGATAAATAAAGCATCCAACATCCAACATTATAAACTCTGTTATAATAAAATAATTTCCTTCCTGCTAGTAAAATGCAGAGAAATGCGTCAAATTTTGGGCAAGTGAAAAGTTGGTTCAGGCAACTGGAAATGACCAGGTACTTGCCCGATACGGCAAGTGGATTTTTGAAAACTTGTCCAACCCTGGTGGGGCAGGAGACTCAACAACCTTCAGACTTCTGGGCAATCCTTGGCTTCCTGAATTCCCCCATGTCCACATTCCTGCTGGCTCCTGGCCAGATTCTGTATCTGTATCTGTATAGCCGGTATAACCGCCTTTCGGCATAACACACCAGCTTCATTCTCAAACCTTTATCCTCCTGTCATTCTGTTTGTCAATCTTTCCCCACCCATGTGATGTCAACCTAGTCTATCCAGACAAACCCACAATTCAGCCACCCCAAACAATACTTCCATACCTAGAAGTTATTGCTTCTCACCTTGGTGACCTTGTTTGTTTCAGCTTTGGAAGAGTCCAGATCCTTCTGGAGTTGGTCTCTCTCTCTGTATCTGTCTCAGAGAGTTTCTTCTGAAGTTCTTCTTTCTCTGACTGAGCTTGCTGTAAGAGTGTAAGAAAACATCCACTGAATCCATTCTACCACATTTCTTCACAAGAAAATGACTGTATTGAAGTGAAACAGCGAAACAAAACGCATCATTCAAAATTGAGACATTATATACACTAGAGAGAAAAGATGCACCAACCTTAGCCTGGTTTTCTGTCTCTTCCTTGAACTCATCAAACTCTTTCTGGAGATCTTCCTTCTGAGAGGTGACAGTTTTGTTGTTTTTCTGTAGATCAACGATCTCCTGCTGGGCTTGCTAAGGTTCAAAACATGTAAGTAAATGCTGTGTTAGCTATGAAGTCATACTTTTTTGTATTTTCGTGCTTCTTATAACTCAACATCAGTCATTTATCTTCAAGTTGACATACCTTAAGTTTCTGGTCAGTTGTGCCCTTCAAAGCCTCTGTTCCCTTCTGCAACATGTCCTCAGCTTCAAGGTCAGATATTCTCTTCTCAAGGTCAGAGATTTCTGACTGGCTTTGCTGTGATGCACAAAAAAAGCAACAGTGTAACAGACTTTAACGTAAACTCGACATAACATTTAACCTTCTCCCCACAGCATAACCCCATAACCAATAGAGAATTGGTAGCCAAAAGACTACTTCGGTGTGCTAAAAGTTTAAGTAACTGTTTTTAGACTTACACTTTCTTAGACAAATGATGATAGAATTTAAGATGTTCTAACCTTGGTTTGGTCTTCAGACAGGTTCTTAATTCTGTCCAGTTCTGTCTTCAAGTTCTCAATTTCAGCATGTCTGTCAGCAACCTCTCTGGGTGCTGCAGCGGTGGCCTTTTTCTCCTCCTGTGGGAGAAACAAACACTTGTCATTACTGAATATCTTCTTTTTTTTTGTACAGTTTTTCACTTTAAAAGTCTTTCCCACGCTAAATGGTGCATAGGTGTAATGGTGCAATCTCCATTCCAGTAGACCTTGGGTCACACAAGTTTGTGCAATCTAGACAGCAGGAGGCTTGTCCACTGGTATTGGTGTGTGTTCAACTTCCATTCTCTTTCACAAATGCTAAGCAGAGAAAGCAGTAGGTACCATGTTTAATATCTTCGTACCATGTTTGATATCTTTGATATGACTCAGTCGGGGATCGAACAAACAACCTACTAAATGCAAGGTGGACACTCCACTCACTTGGTCATTGTACTGGTTCCAATTAGTTAGCATACGTGGTAAAAAATCACAGAAAAGGAAGAAAAATTCAGGTTTTAGACAGGAAAATATGCACTACAAAGTTTATGATGAAGAATAATTAAAATATGTTACAGCTGACCACATTTGAAGAGGCAAAAAACATTTTCAGAAGGAAACATGGCTAAAATTTAGAAACAATAGAAAATGAATACAGGCTTACCAATAGAGTTGTAGTAGCCTGAAATATTTGGTCCTCTGCCTCCTTCCTTAAAGTTTCAAAGTCTTCCAGTACTTCCTTCTTCTCTTTCTCCAGGTTAGCAATGCTCTGCAGGTAGTTGTCGGTCCTTTCTTTTTCAGCCTAGGAGAAGTAAAATGTACATGTAGTTGGTGAGGTTTGTGCAACCCTACGTATGGAGCTTCAACATGTACATATCACACAGGGATACAGTCATGATAATGGTTACATGACTTTTGTATCAACTTTTGCTATACAATATATGCAGTTACCTCATTCAATCAACTCCATTTTGATTACATACATAGGAAAACAAGCAACATTTTGACATTTTATCATTTAGTATGAAAAAGGTACAAGCTATTGGAACTGAAAAACAAGTAGTCATGTAAAAAACATGTAATGTGAAGATTAAAAAATAGTCACTGCATATAGGTTACACAAGTAACAGTTACACAAGTAATAGCTATATCACAGGATGTAGACTGATACACATTAAGTACCTTTTGTGCAACATTTGTGTCTTCTTTCATTGTCTTGATCTCGTTATTAAGTTTCTCTTTCTCAGTCTCGAGGGCTGTGATCTTGCTCTGGAGTTCCTGGCTGGCTTCTTGATGTTGCTGGAGAACAAACATCAAGCAGGTCAATAACAGAATGAACATGTTGTGGATCCCGGGTTTTCCCTCTATAAAACAAGAATGCTGGGCTGATATCCAATCAGCACCTAGTTATGACAACACCAACCAGCACCAAGGACAGGTACCAGAACAAAGCTGAAATTACCCAATCTGCAAAATGCTGAGGTTGACCAATCAGTACCAAGAACAATGCTATGTTTTTACACCTGGAACATCATTAGCATTGACTAATAAGCCAAATGGTCTTGGAGAAGAGCAACCAATCAGCGCCAAGGTAAACACTGACCCTGACGATCACTATCGATAGCTGTATATCAAACTTCAGAAAAATGGAGAGACTGCTTACCTCAGTTTTCTCTTCTGTTTCCTTCTTGAAGGACCTTAGCTCCCCTTGGACCTGTTCTTTTTCAGATTCCACAGCCTGGGTCTTCTTCTGGAGGTCAGCATTGGTCTCATCTCTTTTCTACAACAGAAAGGCATGTGTTAGAAACTTCAACAGGACTTAAAACATGGATACCTCAGAAATGACATTACTTCACACAGTCTTGGGTCAACAGAATTTAAAAGTTTCAAACAGGTAAGAAACAGAAGACTAACCTTGATCTTGTCATCAGATTTCTTCTTGGCAGCCTTCATGTCTTCCAGGAGCTTCTCCTTGTCTGCCTCTGCCTTGGTGATCTTCATCTGCAGTTCTTCTCCCTTAAGCTTCTCTTGCTATTCATCAATGTAAAGAAAGACAGACAAAAATTTTCCTTTTCATTCCTTTATTTGTGTTTTTACACACACATTTAAGAGATGCAACAATATTATGAGTGTCTTCGTTTTTGTTGCTGATATTGTTGAAATAGATATGAGATGACAGCAACAACAACAACAAAAAACCTCACCTTCAGGTTTTCTTCCAGTTCTTCTTTAACATTCTCCAGTTCTTTCTGTACTTTTTCCTTTTCAGCCTCCACCTCAGAGATCTTGTTCTGTAACTCCCAGGTCTCCTTCTGGCCTTGCTGTTTGATAGAATGGGCAACAAAAATAAGCAAAATTCCCTCAGATTTTTCAGTTTTAATATACCAACAATAAAATAATATCAGACACAGAACAACAGTACTCATAAGTACTTACATGTAATCACATCAATCGAGGTAGCTACATAGTGTGACATTTTAAACTATAAACTACAAATCAACTAGCCAATCAGCAGCAATGTCATAGCAGAGATCACTCAATTAGCAAAATGCTAAAGTTGACCCATCAGTACCAAGGACAGAATAGTAGTAGCCAATCAGCATCAAGACCACAGCTGAGATCACCAGACCAGTTAGCAAGAAAAAAGTTGACCAATCAGCACCAAGGACAAGGACAATGTTATTGCTTGCATTGTCCAATCAGCTTCAAGGTCTTGGAAAAGGGCAACCAATAAGCACCAAGGTAATTACTGACACTGTCTTACCTCCAGTTTTCCCTCCACCTCTCCCTTCAGCCTCTCCATGGTTTTCTGCAGGTTGCTGTTTTCTGTTTCCATCTCAGCAACTCTCTTCTGCAGTTGGACACTCTTCTTCTGTTCTAACTGTTCAGAAGGGTAATAAACAGTTAAAACTCTCCCAATCTTATACATCAGATTAAACTTCCCAACTTTTTTAGACTACCCATTGCAGGAAAATACAGTCTTCAACACAACACAGCAAATGCAGAACACAGAAAATCACCACGCACAAGAAAAGTAGGTGAACTTACATCAAGTTTTCCTTCATATTCGCCCTTGAATCTGCCCATGTCCTTGTGGAGGTTCAGGTTTTCTGCTTCAAGTTCCGTTATTTTAGCCTAGAATAAAAAGTATCAGGTTAGGCCATGAGAAGGTAAAATACAGCCATCTTGTAAATTCACAACTTTGTATTCAACTTCTTAATCTTCTCACTGATGCCTAACCCAACACATTTAGTGCCAAACGGCTACTTTAGCATGCTGAAGGTTGATATAGATATGGAATATGTTGATATAATTACATGGAACCTGCCTTTCTGTACAAGTGATGAATGACGAATAAACCATTATTATTAAGTCAGAACTCCCTACCTGGAGTTGTTCTCCCTCCTGTTTCTCCTGAGACAGTTTACTCTCCAGTTCCCCTTTAGTGCTGCCCATGTCCTGCTCCAGTCTTTTGCTCTCATTTTCCAGCTCAGCTATTCTCTTCTGGAGCCCCTTGATGTCTTTCTTAGCTTGCTGCAAAGACGAAGGTAAGTGATTTTTAGAATACTGCATCTTCTGAGCTCTTTTAACAAGCCTGTACAGTAAGACTTATAGAACAAGAAATCTGAGATTTCAGACTTCTAGGAGGTATTTCGGGCAAACTTTATTCTGACCTTCAAATTCAAAGACTCAAACCCATAAATCACCACTTTTCTATCCAGAAGTACAAAAGACCACAAATGAAACAACTATGTTTAACTCACTTCATTTTTCTCCTCATATTCCTTCTTTCTCTCCTCCAATTGCTGTTGAAGTTTGTTTATGACATCTTCCAGGTCCTTGGTCTTCAGCTGGAGTTGCTCAGACTCCTGACCTTTCTGAAATCCAAACCATTCCACACCAATCAGTCTACATATTCATTCAGTAAAAGACATAATCAAAGTATGGGCCAGAACAGGTAACATGCAAGCCTCTGTTCTGTTTTGTGAAAGGTCACCACAGTTGGAGTCTATGTTCCAGGAACTAGTCAAGCTAGGCCTCGCTAGAACACTGCTAAATAAAAGCTTTTAAATTGAAAGTCCCAAAATAGAACCATTTTAGGCTTAGTTATGGCATAACTGGTACCAATAGAACATGTACCTCCAGATCGCCCTCTAGATGAGTCTTCATGTTGCCCATCTCTTCCTGCAGCTTGTTCCTGTCAGCCTCCATGTTGGATAGCTTCTTCTGGAGGTCCTCTTTCTCACATTGTTCTTGCTATTGTCAGGGATGAAAACAATGCCTTTTAACATACATATCTATGGGGACAATTAGCAACACAAGAGTAGTAGCCAATCAGCACCAAAGGCCAGAGATGAGATTACCCAATCAGCAAAATGCTTGGGTTGACCAATCAGCACCAAGGACAAGAACAATGTTACAGCCATGTTTACACTATGTATTCTTTGTCACTTAATATGCAAAAAAAGAGGGTTAACATCGTTATCAATTTTGAGTACTCCAGATTACAGTTACTACAAACAGACGTTTCAGCTAGTATCCACTAGCTTTCATCAGAGACTGAAAGACCTTGTACTTGGAGACAGCAGCTTTAGTGCCTGCTGCCCAGTCCTTCCAGTTCTCCTGCTGCTGTGTAGCCATGATGTCCACCAGGCCCTGTCTCAGGGTGTCCACCATCTGGGTCAACTGGCTATTCACGTCACGTGTCTGATTGGTCAGGCATTTGCCTATGAGTTCCAGGTATAAACAATATTCTATGTTACATCAACATATACATGTGCAGTTAAGGTTTTTGTGACCTTCAAATTCACCCTATTTCTGACGTTTTGACCTCCTGTCAATCAATCTGTCAAACTTTCTGGGCCCTCATGCAGTCAACGCTGTCTCAAGTTCACCCATGTCTTTGACCGGTCAATCTTCCCCACTGACATGCTGGGAAAGTAATGTGCTAAGGACCTACACTGTCTGGATAAGCAGATATAAAAGCCACAGCTAGGCCACCCAAAACAATACTTGTAAGTAATAGCGTATGAACACCAACTGTACTGGAGACTTTGCTTTACCTAGATCTGACATGAGGCTGGTTTTCTGGTTGACCTCTGGCCTGATTGTTATGTTCTTTGCCCTATGAGCGTAGTCCAGGGTACTGAGGGTCTCCTGCAAGCAAAGCATACCAACGCTGGAGTACATTGTAGATGGAAAAACAGGCTTTGCATCCTAGCATTGGGCCATATTCTTGCACTACCAGCTTTCATAATGACACGCTGGCACAAATTTGTTTTCTGATTAACAAAGATTTAGTTTAGTTTAGAGTTGTGTACACAAAAATTTAGGTACAAGTACCTGTACAGGGGTTTAGGTACAGACTCTGACCTGTACCTAAAGTTTGGCCAATCATTTGTAAGTTATTCATGCAGATTACTGTCCTTTTAGTGGTAAATTTTTGTTACAAGTTTTTTCTGATGTTCTGAAGCACTAAATTCTCATCTTTGAGATGTAGTTTGCCTGTCTTTAGTGTATAAAAATAGTGCCCACAAGTGTTGAATTTTGTTTAGATACAGGTACACCAGATGTCCAAGTTTGGGTCTGCATCAGGGGGGGAAATGATACTATCCCATCATCCTTTGCAATACACATCCCACAACATGTGTCCCAGATGGCTGACTGTCAGCACCAGGCATATAGTCTTGTCATGTTTCCTTTAAAAGTGCAGCAATGGCAACAATTTGACCAGTAATTTTTGGTTCTTTGAATTATCAAAGGACTCAAGTAGTGTATGAGGCTATCTGACTTTTGTAACTTATGTACAACTTCTTACATTGTGTCTTAAACATTTATGC